ACAAGAAGCAAGTCATTTGTAATTTTAACAAGTGCAGTTTCTGTGCTATGGTGGGGCAATCATGAATAAAAGTCCATTAACGGATTATCTTATTTCCCGTAATATTTGTATATTATTATTCTTAGCTTATTATGGGTATATTTTTCCCTCTTCATTTTGATCTCTTTATTTAACGTTCTGAATACTTTTGTAAATAATAGCCTACTGTAAATGCTCGATTATGCTTTGATTATGCTGACTGGATTTTTTACCGGAATGCAGTTTAAAGGTAGAATTTAACATTTCATTTTATTTCAGCTAATTAATAGACTAGAATTATAGCTTCGTTGAGGAATGAATTATTCATGTAGTTTCATTTATAAATGAACTCATAAATACAATCATAAAGTCAAAACTTTATTGGCATAATTGTCAGGAGTTACTGGGTTAATCTTTTTCACGTTTCCTTGGTTGGTAGATGCACCGGAGACCTGATTATAGCACTTACAACCTGGAAAACTCAGAGTTTCATGATATGTCACCTTTAAAATATTCCAGATTAATATGCAGAGTCAACAAATGGACTGAGTTTGGGGCGGGGCTATCAGTTTGACCGGCCAATAACAGAACCCGTTTGAAAACATCAGTCTGGAGACACAGAATAACACACTTCAGCTTTTAAACAGTTTCTGATCGTTGAAGCTTTATCTTGAAATGATCCACAGGATTCGAGTCTCCCATCCTGCACGGCCTGTGTTCGTTTGGCTTCGCCGCTCGTCACGCTCTGAAGCAGTACGCAGCAAACGACGTGTCCAGATTCAAGTCCATCAAGGTAAAACAGCATCGACACCGAGACGTGACGGGATTTGACTTTACTGACTAGAGCTGTCAATTAAACATGTTTATTTGGGTGCAGTTAAGACTGACTGCATGATGAAGTCCAGTAGAATGCCGTTATATGAGCCAACTCATAAATACAATCATAAAGTCAAAACTTTATTGGCATAATTGTCAGGCATTTACAATATTTGCAAAATATATGGTAGCAAATATAATTATACAGAACATTAATTAGGTAAGGTTAATTAAGTGATACATGTATTGAAAGGGGAAATAAGCATATACATAACAATAAATATAAAAATATAGCCCTAACTAGTTAATATAATAATATTATACAAATATTAAATGAAATGTTTAAAGTTTTTAAAACATAAAAGTGTTTTATCCATTTCTGATAATCCCGGGTTGCTATGGTCACGCAGGTTTGTTTACGCATTAAACTCGTGGCTACGAGAAAAACATGTTGGTTTTGTGTTCCAGGGTCACATTTATAATGTTGCAAAAGATTTCTATCTCAAATAAATGCTGTTCTTTTGAACCTTCTGTTCATCTGTGAATCCTGAAAAATAAAGTGCATGACGGTTTCCACAAAAATATTGTGTTAAAATTCAAGATAGGAGCACAAAAAAATAAATGAGCTATTTATATGATATAGTTTAGTTTAGCAATATCACACCAGCAAGAGTGCTGTTTTACACCAATATCTGCACCACTGCAAATGTGATATTGATTTATACAACAAGTTCAATAAACAAGACGTTCATATTGTGTTTAAGACTCAATATTATCTACTTTTGCTCAATTTCGCAAATGAAAATAGTTCCAATCAAAGCCACAGCAGAACTGTGATGAACACACAGCGGTGATTCATTACTGAATTAATCTACGGCTCTGAACGAATCAAGTGAGTCAGTGATTCAGTGACTCGTTCATAAAGGAATGAAAGGCATCATTTCTGAATGAATCAGTCGCTTGAACAAACTGGTTGAATGAATGATTTAACGATTCACTCTTTAAGACACCTATACTGGCGCTGTTTCATATTTAGAGTATAATTTCAATAAAAAATAAAAAAATTCATATTTCAATATTAATTTTTATTATTATTCAAAAGTTTAATAAAAATATTTCTTTGTAAAGATACTTTTTGTAATGTCTATTCAATGCTTTTCTCATTAAGTGATCTTTTGGGAGGTGAATTCTCAGTCCAAACTGATGTGTGATTAATTGATTAATTATTAAAGTTCCGTCTCTACGACGGATTTCCGTCAGTTCATAAAGACAGTCACTTGCTTCATTCCTCAATGATTCAGCCGTTCAAACGAATCAATTGAATGAATGATTCAGTGATAAA